TATTACATATAGACAATGGAGATGAGTGCATGCCTAAGTAATTTGATATTTATTTGAAGAATAAAGGAATTGCTAGACAAACAACAACTCCATATACTCCCCAACAAAATGATATTACTAAAAGGTTAAATCAAACCATTGTAAAGATGGCAAAGAACATGCTTCATATACAAAACCTTGGCTATGAATTTTAGGAAGAAGCTATGGAGAATGCAGTGTATATAAAAAATAGGTGTCCAACAAGTGTTCTTACATCAATGACACCACAAGAAGCTTGGAGTGGGAGACAACCTTGCATTTCCTACATGAGGACCTTTAGTTGCATTGCATATGCAAAAACACCAAATTGTATGAGGTCCAAACTTCATGAAAAAGGTACAAAGTGTGTATTTCTTGGTTATTGTGAAGGTACTAAGGCATATAGGCTAATGTGCTTGGAAACCAAGAAGATCATCAAAAGTCATGATGTTGAGTTTTTGGAGGACAAGAATGCTTGTGAGTACTTGGACATGTGTCTAAGTGGGAGTAATTGTGTGTTTGTAGATACATCTTTGAATTCAACAAAGAAACAAGAAGATGAAGATAATGAAGATGATAAAGATGAAAAGCCAAAGAAGGTTGAAAAGATGAAGGCTCCTATAATTGATAGGACCAGCAATGAAAGAAATGAAGATGTTGAAGATTGGGTTGATGATAATGATGAAGAGTATCAACCATTGAGTGAGAAACGATAAGATTTAAGAGAGAAGAAGGTTGGAAAAGAACATAGAGTACAACAAGGTGAATTTTCTTCTATAAGTAAAAGGAGATATCCTTTGAAAGAAAGAAGGCAACGTGGTGAATGGTGGAAGGATCACATCTTCCTTCAAGTAAATGAAGAACATGCAAATGTTCCTCTTCTTGCTAATCTATTGTCTTTGTATAATGCTATGAAGTGTGAAGATGCAATGAAATGGGAGAAGGCTATGGAAGAAGAGTACCAATCTCTTATGGACAATGGTACATGGAAATTTGCACCTCTTCCAGCAAATCGATCTAGTGTTGGTTGTAAGTGGGTGTTTAGGACTAAAAGATATGCAATGGGTGTGGTGGTGAGGCACAAGATAAGATTAATTGCCAAAAGATATTCACAAGTTGCTGGAATTGATTTCAATGACACTTATGCACCCATTGCCAAATTCACCACCATTAGGACCATTATAGCAATTGGGGCAGCAATGGATTTGGAAATATATCAAATGGATGTAAAGATAGCCTTTTCTGAATGGAGAATTGTAAGAAGACATCTATATGGATCAACTTCAAGGATTTGTACAACAAGACAAAGAACATCTTGTGTGCAAATTGAAGAAATCTTTGTTTGAATTCAAACAATCACCAAAGGCATGGTACCAACGAATTGATACTTTTTTTGTTAATGAAGGGTTTATGAGGAGTGAGGCTGATCATTCATTGTATGTAATGCAATCTAGAGAGTTCTTGTTGATTGTAATCTTTTATGTTGATGATTTGATCATCTTGGCTAATAGTATGGAAAAGATGGATTGGATGAAGGCCAAATTAGAGAAGGAATATGAGACGAGTCATTTGGAAGAATTACACTACTGCTTGGAAGTGGAATTTATAAGAGATCGTGGTAACAAGACCATTACAATGAACCAAACCAAGTACATTGAAGAAGTGTTGAAACGATTCAACATGGAGGAGTGCAAGGCCATTGAAACACCTTTGGAAGCAAATTTGAAGTTGATGAAGTTTACGGATGAAGAGTTTGCACAAGTTGAAGGTGAGATGCAAAGTGTTCTATACATGGCAATAGTACACTCACTCATATATGCAATGGTGGCCACAAGAGTGGATCTTGTATATGCGGTGAGTGTTGTAAGCCAACACATGTCTAAGGTTGGACCATTGCATTAGACAATAGTAAAGAGGATATTGAAGTATTTAAAAGGTACAAAGGACTTCAAATTGTGCATTGGTAGTAAGAACATTGATTTGCAAGGTTATTGTGATGCGGATTGGGCTGGAGATGTAAATGATAGAAGATCCACAATGGAATATGTCTTCTTTATTGGAGTAGGAGTTATTTCAGGGAATTATAAGAGACAACCTATCATTGCAAGATCAACGATGGAGGCAAAGTACATGGCAGCAAGTCATTGTGCAATGGAGGCATGTTGGATAAGACAACTCTTAGAAGACATTGGACTAGTGCAATTAGAAGCAACTTTAATTATGTGTGACAATCAAGGATGTCTTGCATTTGACAAGAATCCAAAACACCATTCAAGAACCAAGCACATTGATATTCAACATCATTTCATACAAGAGAAGATTGAAGATGGAATAATAGGTATGAAATATTGTGCTACAAATGATATGCTTGCTGATTAGCTTATAAAAGCATTAGTAAAGGATAGACATCACAAATTGATACAGAGATTAGGATTGAAAGCCTTTTAAAAATTAGCAAAGTAGAAATGTTGAAGATCAGCAAGTACTTACTTAGTTATAATCACATAGAAATTAAGCATAGTATATTGCTAATAGTCAAAAGATAACAAAGAGTTAAAGAAAATTAATGTGGTGGCACCAAGGGTTTATATGTGGCGGCTAGGTTAAAAAAGAACCTAGGGTTTAGTTGAATGAAGTAGAAATGGATGTAATATCAAAAAGATGGAAGTTGCCTCGTTGGTTAGCAAACCATCACCTATAAGTAAAGAGTGTTGGAAGTAAGAATCATCTTTTTCTACACTTCTCTTAGAGTACAATCCTTGTTGATGCTAAGTGTTTGTAGGTTTTAGACTTCTTTTCTTCAATAATTCCTTTATTGATTAAAAACTTAGATTCAAGAATAGACTTGATAAGGTTTGTTTGAGTATTGATTTATAAAGATTTATGCATAATAATTTTATGAATTTGCAAAGATGTCATAAAATTATTATGCATAAAATTATTGGATGCATAATAATTTTATGACATCTTTGCAAATTCATGGTTGTTTTGGGTGACTTTGTTTTTTGTGGAATAAAAAATGAATTATATTTTGATGAATCATGTGAGTTTTATAGCAGATACATAAATGAAGTTTTGTTATTTGTGAAAGTTCTTGTGTTAATATTTGTTGTCAAATTGAACTTAATCTAACAATCAAATCAACATAAATTAAGATTCAAGTGAGTTAGAATTTTAAATTTTAGATTTTAAAGGTCATTAAAGATATTTGTAATTTTGACTCATTTTCCAATTAGATTGAGATAATATTTTTATGTGCTTAAATCTAATTTGGTTTTTTTAATATTAATACAAATTTTGAGAATGCATTAATTCTTCAAAAGGAAGATATTGATATTAGTAGGTTTACATTGAGGTCAAAGAAGGATGATGAATAATATCCAAGCAAATTAAGAACATTTTTTTGTAATTTCTAAGTTTAATTTTCTTTAAGTTTTGAGCACTTGTTTTCAACTAGTAAGTTAAGATATATGAAAAAATTGAATCAAGATCAACAATTAAAATAATAATTATTGAAGTCTGAAATTTGCTTTAGAATTTATTTAGATTTGACAATAATTGTGAGGATTTACTTGAAATTTGGTTAGGATTTTAAGGATTTTGTGAAGATTCTATTAGGATTTGATTTGGATTTACTTAGATTTTATTTAGAATTTCTTTAGGATTTCTTATGATTTTGTTATAACTTCTTTAGAATATTTTTAAAATTTCTTAAAAAATTTCTTATAATTTCTTTAAGATTTAATTAGGATTTTTTAAGGATTGGTTTAGGTTTATTTAGAGTTGAATAGAGTATGATAAGATTTCTTAGGTTGTTTAAGATTGTCAAAAAGTTGTTTCTAAACATCTTATGCATTGTTTTTTTGGGTTGTTAATCCAACTTTGAAGTAGAATCAAATCCTTCCACATCTAGATACCCAATGTATTTTTAAGCTAATTTTCACATAATCCAAATACTAGTCTTTGGTAAATAGCAACAAAATAAACATTTTTTTTCTTTGCAGATGTATATATTGGACATGATCAAGGCAAAGTGACATGATTAAGGCAAAGTATGTGTGCAAGGTGACAAGAAGTAGAGGTGGTGGGATACAAAAATAAGGAGAGTAGAATGGGTAGAATATGAATGCAAAGGTGAAGGAGTGATGGTATTGGTGGTGATTAGGAGGTTAAGATTGTTGATGATGAATGTGTAGGTTCAACTTTGCATATTTGTTGTGGTGGATAAGAACAAGAAATTCAGCTATTCATTCTTTATGCCAAATGTAGAGCACAAGGCTTGCATATTTGAGCAAATATATTTCATGCAAACAAAGTTGGTGGTAATTGAGCAATTTGTATACAACTTGTAGTATAAGTATGAGTAGATTTTGGCAACTGTGGTGGTTGTAGAGCATGATGTCATAATTGTGATATCCAACTTGGAAGTGGTTGCAGCAATGCAGTATTTAACATTGGCCAAAATGCCATTTCAACGAGATCTCATTAGACTGCACTAAGTGGGTAGGATGTTTATCTTGCCATCCTGGGTAGAAAAACTAACATTTAGATTAAAACAATATATATATATATATATATATATATATATATTATCTTTATTGTTTACAACTTAGGAACAACCTCCATTTCAGATAATATTGTTAGCAAAGCAGAAATATTAGTTAAGAGGTGAAAATTACAAAAGGCATCTTTATTTATATAATTCGACTACAGAGCTAAGGATAGATTTTATGGAGATAAAATGGACAAAACGAAAATACAAATTATCAAATCAAGTTAGAGTAAAAAAAATTTGTGAAATTTTAACAATATAATTGTGTACAATCTTAGCATTGCATCCCATACAAAACATCTTACATTGATCCAGGCATTGATCCAGGCATTTCAAGAAAGAATTGTCGACGTCTATTTACTACGGTGACAATTCTTAACCCGAAGTCCAAGTGTTTGACAATAGCTGTACTAGACTTCAATGGATTGAATTCGCAAGAATGGTAAACATAAGGTCGATTCCAAAACAGCATCCACAGAGGCTGCATGATAAAAACATAGAGAAAATAGATTTGAAGAACACGCTCTCAGTGATAAAAACACATGCCTCAGAAAAAGGAGTTAACTAAAATGAATACCTCTAATGTTTTTCATAGTGAAATGGAGGTATGAATCCAAAACCGTGTGACTCTGATACCCCACATTGTCATCCACTGACACTGATCCTCACCTCTCACGTTGCTGTCTTGAACGCCGTCCATGATTTGGAATCATGTCTCGTACATAAAATTCATGGCAACGCAGCAGCTATGCTGAAAGACCCCAAGGCCTTGGGGTTGTGATATAACTTGCAACTATTAAATCTCACTCTCAGATTACGTATCTGATCTAAACTACAATAGAATAGTTACTGTTCACCATCGTCCTCCTTGTACAATTTGATCATGTCATCGATTCTTAGGATCGTGATTGCAGCTTCGGTTGCGAACTGTATTCTCAACATTGGACACACGTCAGCAGAGATACGTGATGCGAGTGACCTCAAACACTGAGAAAATACCGAAATTGGAAACAAAAAGGATAACTCCAAAATCTGTTACCTTAATCTAACAGACGTTTCAAGAATGAGAACATAACATCGAGGTGAGAGAAAAGAAAAAATAATTTGCAGATGTTTTATACCTGAATTATTTTAACTTTGCTCATGGCTGGCTCAACCACACCTGCTTCTATATTGTTTCTCACTACTCCCTTGATCAAGTCCAACCCGGTTCTGAACAATCCATAGAGCTTTCACTTAAGACAATCCACATGAGGATAGGAACAAAAAACAGCATTTAACATGCCTGGGTATTATTAAGCACAAGGACAAGTTGGGACGAGGAAGCAAACTCTGCTAAGGAATAACTATAACAACCTGAAAGAAGCAAAAATATGATACCCATAACTTCAAGAACAAGTACATACCCAGAAAGATGTTGTTTATCTGCCTTCGTTTGAGCACTGTGATGGTACGCACGCAGTTTAGCAACCAATTCTGTTGAATCCTTCGCAGCGTTCACAGAAAGAACCTGTTTATGCGCACCATGTTCAAGAACTTAGACTATGCAAAGTTAACAAAAGAATTCATTCAGTATCATGATAGATAGCTTCGACATGCACACGAGGTTGCAGTGGTTTCCGAATATCGACAATTCATCCAACACGAGCATGGAAACTGCTTTCCCCAAAATACCAGAAAACTCAATCATAATCTGCATTAACAGAAAAGATTCTTGACTTACTTTGGGAATGACAAGTAGAGCCTCGGCAAATTCAACTATAGCAAGCTGCTCTCGTGACCCTAACGTGGTTGCTAGATTTTCTAAGTACACCGACAAGGCTGCCTCCACTGCCCCTCCTCCTGCAACCACCTGCATCAGCGAACAGGATTGGAGACCACTCATCTCAGCCTAAACATTCGTCAAGTTTCGAAGGTTATTTCCACTGTTAGTTTCAAGCATAAAATTCGGATATATTGCAAAGACAATCTAAAAATATGTTATGTTCTTCTCTGCACCAAAGACGCATCAGGGCTACACATTATAGCAGAAAAGCCAAAAGAATTAAGTTAAGGGTCTACTCACAGTATTTGATTCCAGAGTACGTTTTACAATGCTCAATGCATCATGAATAGAGCGTTCCATCTCATCCAACATGTAGTCATTAGCTCCTCTCAAAACAATTGATACCTGCGACATAACAGAGAGTGATATCATAAAACATTACTTGAATACATCGTCTGTGTTCTTGTAACTCAAGAACATGGAAAAGTTGAGAGACGATAAACTATACCACAATTTTAATATTCTACCCTAACCAAGGGATTTAGGGAGCATAAATAGCACTTACTGCTCTTGAACTCATTGCACCCTTAATAAGAATAACATCGTCATCAGATACTCGCTCCTCCACAACTTCCTCTGCTGTTCCTAATAGAGAAGCATCAAATGTCTCCCCTCCCTCCATATCCGCAAAAGTTAGAACCTGCATCCAAAAGAAAACACAGAGAATTCAGAATACTTCATATCATATTGGCATAAAAACGAGTGTGTGTGTGTGTGCGCGCGCGCGCGCGTACGTGGAGGGTACGGGGGTTTTAATTAGAATTTTAAAGAGAAGAAAAACAATAATAAGTGAATAAGAGCTCAGCAGTGTGATAATTATTATTACTAAGATTCGGCCTGGACAAATGTGCACCTGAGTGGCACCAGTGGCCTTAGCGATGTGACGCATATCTTCCTTGCTTACTCGCCGCAAAGCAATAGCATTGGCCTCTACAAAGTACTGCGTCCACCACGATTTAATCCACCAACATACTCACCTCAAAACTTCCATGGCAACTCCCAACGGTGCAAAAAAGCAAGCACCGTTCAATATACAATGACAACAAGTAGAGCTCTTTTAACGTACTAAATTCTGAAACCTCTACCCTAGCTGTAACAGTTGTAAGCAGGTAACTATATCACAATCCTTAAATTTTAAAAACGCCGCTGAAATACATACCTTCAAAGCCATATCATCAATACCCTTTGTAGTAAGGATGACATTTGCCCCTGCTTTCAGGATTTTCTCAATTCGCTCTTTGGTAATGTCTGCTTCCCTGCAGATGCAGTTTACTTGATCAAATTAAAACCAGAGACGAGATCTTATTGGGATAAAACTTTCATCAATGTATTTGCGTTGCAAAAACATTTATAGACGTATAGAAACAAAAGAATGCACGTTGAGAAGGCAAAAATATGTGCTGCAGAAAACACTGCACACGATGTCAACCGAGTATTTACCGTTGACGAATTTTCTCCAGTTCCCTAGGATCTGTCACAAGGACCTGTACTCCCATTTGCATTTTTGTCTTCTGCAAGTTGACGTCCAAGCATGCTATGCGAGCAGGTCCCACTCGTTTAGGCATGCCCTGAGCAGCTCTCCCTAACGGCAAAGCATATCCATTAAGTAGATAGCTCTCTTTGGCACTCTGTCCATGAGCCTTCAGAATATTGATAGACTGATCAATGTACAATACAATACCAGCATGTTAATACGTAGGAAAACGAAACTTACACAAGCATCACTTCCACTAAAACTACGATAAAGGACCATAGAAGATATGATCCGATGGTCTTCAAAATTATATCAGAACAAAGCGATGCATTAAAGCAGTCAATTCCAATAGCAAATAAGTCTAATTACTTTAATGGGATATCTAACGTCGCCCTTTTCAGATGTAGCCTTAACAGCTTGAACAGCATCAACCACCTGAGTAGTCCAGAAAAAAGGAACACTGTAGTTACAACATGACTCGAAGAAGGTGATAAAGACATTCAAATAAACCAGTAAATTATTGACCAGAGAAGTACGGAAGAGGCAAGTGACATGTACAAACGAGCAAATTAAATTTGAATACGACCTTAAATCTTAATCTTGAAGTAAAATCCACAACGGTATTACACCTTACCTACAATTCATCACTCGCATCATGAAGCACAGTTTGATACGTACCATCTTTGCAAAAAAATCAGATTCAGGCCCAATGATTTTGGAGGACATGCTGGTCTTTGCAACGTTGATCAAAGTGTCCTTCCCTAACTTTTCGACCTGAATTTTATTGCAGAAAATTAGGACAAATATGATGCCTTGAATAGAATAGAGAAATGATGGTGTTAATATAACGCAATAGAGTGACGCCAACATAATTCCAGAAGAGCAGTGTGACAATGTACATCAATGCAAGTCAAAATTTCAATCAAACCAAACCTTAATGGCAAGCTTCTCATCAATATACTTGCACGCCTCACGCATGGCAAGCTGGCAAATAAAGTAAACCCGAGTGGTCAGACTGTTGCTGAGATTGAATCTGAGTCTTACGGTTACTGTTGAAGAAACAAGATTAACAGAATCGATGAAATCAAGAAATGGCTAATCACACTGTTGCAGTAAACAATCAAACAAGCTGAACAAGTTCTTTAATTACCAGTCTACAAAACCGAAACTTGGAAAGTGATGGCCTGAGCAAAACAAAGAAAAACTTACTCGATAACCACTAATAATTGAAGTTGGATGTATCTTGTTTCTAACCAAGTCATTTGCTCTCTGTTCACCAATAATGAACATAAAAAGTCAGATCCAATATATAAGCGAGCTTTTATGGATTATGATACGAAGTACAAAAAAATATTTTTAAAATGTTTCAATAGATTTAACATAATTTGATGTCTCCAGTCCCTAAACACAGAAAAATAGAGACACTAACACCTGACTTAAGTATGCTGAACATTAAAAAAAGATTCATAGGAACATCATGTATGTCATTAACCTTAAGAAGCTCCGCGGCAATAATAACAACCGAAGTTGTTCCATCTCCAACTTCCCGATCCTGCAGCTCAGCTAGCTCTACTAACACCTGGATATAATCTTTCATTAGATGATCTAGTTGACACTTGTCACCAATCATACACTATGCAGTGAGGACTAGCTATTACCTGTAGCTCATTGTAAATGAGACACAACATACCAAGATTGAAGCCAAAAAATTGCCGCTAGAACAAGAAGCAAGCTATCATATACAGGCTCACAAAAGACGAAACCAACGGGCACAAAATAAAATTCCTGCTTCTACAGCACACGCAGAAGATGGCATAACTCCCGCCGGCCATAGATGGCCTCGTTATACAGCCAGTTTTCTCAACGTAAAGCAAGCAATACAGCAAAAACATTGGCTGTAGGATATGGTCAAAATTACAAACCAAAAACATTGCGGTTTCAAAGTATCCGAATGACGACGTCCCTGTCTTACCTTGGCAGCAGGATGCTCCACCTCAAGCATCTTTAAAATAGTGGCTCCATCATTTGTTATCGTAACGTCACCGATGTCATCCACGAGCATCTACAATCCAAAATAGAAAACGATAATTGAAATACTAGTTATTTGATTAAGTAAAGGTTATCTCACACAAGTGTTCAGAGACAAAAAGCATAGATAAGAGAAGGATCCAGCTGAAGTTTCGCAATGCACTTCGAGTGAGGGAAAAAGTAATAAATGTACGTGTCACGTAGGCGAAGAAAGAATAATAACAATGCAGACGTACCTTATCAAGACCAACAGGCCCTAACGAGGTTTTGACAATGTTGGCGATAGCCTGGCATGCCATGACTGCATTACATCCACAAACAAAACCACCATTTAGTCAGCTTTCGCGTTCAAACCGAACCCTAACGAAAAGCACTCCAGCCTCCAACTCATAAAACCGATCCGATCACCGCCTTCACAGGACACAGGACACAGGACACGGTGAAGGCCATAGTGTCTATACACTCTCAAAACTCCACCAAAATTTTCCGCGACGATCTCAGCAAGCTCTAAAACCCTAAACCCGACTTGGAAGCACGAATATGCAGTAGCACACCATTCTGAGAGCGGACATCCTGGCCAGTCTGCCGATCCCCGAGGATACTCAGATTCTGCGACATGTTTCGCTACTCGTGTACACGATTGAAAGCTACAACGGCAGCTTGAACGATGCAGAGTAGGCGCTCGAAAACTTGGAAGTCCTGCACAGCCTTGCAGACACCTAAGACTGTAGAACGATGCACTAGAGGGCGTCCCCGAATGGAGAAGGCTGTGAATCGTCAACCATGCACTCTGTTTATTCATCCACTATCTGTCATCCAACATCCCGCTGGACACGCTAGGCTCTCATAGAGCAAAGACATTGAAGCTCTTTCTTTGGTTATGTTCAATGCATTATGGCTGTAGGTTCTAAACGTAGTATTTTTACCCTATCTCCGGTAAAATATAAACGTCAAATAATTTATTAAATTTAATTTGGTAAATGATCCTAATAAAGAAAAATCTCTCGGTTCATAGTTTTATTTATCACTTCTCTAGTATAAAGTTATATATATATATATATATATATATATATATAATATTCCTTGCTTAACTGATAATATTTTCTAGATTATAAATCAAATGGAATATGTATGTATATGTATATATACATGTATATATGTGTGTGTTTGTGGATTAACATACACATGATTTATAAATTCATTTCAATGATTCTAAGAAAAATTGGCATACATAAAATTTAGTCATTTGATTATTTAGGCAATGCAATAGAACAAAGAATATATCATAATATTTATTTAAATTCATTAAATATGAAATTAGCTACTTTTTCAACCTCTTAGTAATGCATTTGACAAATCATATATTGTATAATTATGTCTTTACCAATAAAACTTATATATACATACATATATAACTAATAACAAACATTCTTTTAACTTGTTCAAAGATATTTCCTTTTCAATTGCATTTTCATTCAAAACCATTACACTTGAAAAAAATTAATGCATTTTTCTTGTAAATCAACTGTAGCACAAATTAACCGTTTAAAATTGGAGTCAATATGATATTTTATCTGTGATCAATCAATCCAGCACCTATATTTTCTATGTGTTATAACTAAATCAAAATATTATTGAACAAATAATAATAAAAAAAAACAACAATAATAATAATAATAAAAATACTATACATGTTTTGAATACGTTCCCTCTTTTCTTCAAATTTTTACTTGTTCCACATGATTTGGTTGAAACTGACGTGGTTTCCATTTCTTCTTTTTTATTTCTTTTATTTCTTTTTAACAACACAAGATGTAAATTCTACCAACAGGGTCAGTAACAGGGGCATCACGCGCGAGGAAAAGCCGTCAAAGTTGAAGGAAGAGAACAGGCAAAGAGAACGATGGGAACGCAAAGGGAACATTGTCTCCCACACAGATGGATAAGGCGCCTAATTCCGCCGATCCTCATCCCCATGCTCGCAGAGCCTCGCGGGACACAACGGAGGTCTGTGTTGTTGCACCAAGGGGATTTGGATTCTGGAGTCCACAGCCATTTCCCTTCCCTCGCCTTGGTCACATTTGCCATTGAAGCTCGCGAGCAATGGCTGGAGCAGTGATGGCCGGAGCAACGGCCTACATGGCGTCGCTGTCGCTGAGAAGCTCTCCATTCACGGAATTCAACGGCTTGGCTGCAGCTCCTTCCTTCCGCCCTTCAATCCCTGCGCCCACACGCTCAAGTGAGTTTTTCTTTCTTCTCTGATGCAATTTGATTGCTGAAACTTTTTTTTTCATGGAATGGAGTTGACTTCAGAGATGGTTGGGGTTTCTCTTCAGCTGTACAGTGCAGTTTATACAGGCGTTTTTGCTTGAAGCAAACCTGGTCGGTCTACCCGCACAGACAGCATTCCTCATTTCTCAATTTTTAATAAACCCTTGCAGCTTTGTTGCGGGAGACGTTGAAGGTAGAGGCTTTGAAGGATCAAACCCGGAGAGAATCTTTGAAATCTCGTCATAGGCGTTTGAGGAAGAAGGTAATGTGGAATCCCTCGTGTAGCTTCCCATTCTACTCAATGTGAAATTGTAGAGCCTCCTCAGTGCGTCTATGTACATACCCAATTTTTTGTTTTCAGAGCCTATCTCTCTGTCTTAGTTGACGAAATGACCTTTCTGTGCAACTGATGAAAATGCAGCATGGAATTGGCAGAGTTAGCAATTGTTTGATTTTTCTATTCGTGAAGTTGTTAGTTCCCAACTTAAAGTGTAAATCCATCTAAAGAGTTAATTTTTTCTTAACTCAAGGATGCAAGACGGCGAGCTAACTGACGTTGTTTAGGAGGTCTAATATTAAAACATTCTCAGATTCGTTTCATGAATGTGCCCGGGTGGGAACTTCTGTGCAGCTGAGTGGCACCACGGAGAGGCCTCGATTGGCTGTCTTCCGCACGAATCAACATCTCTATGCCCAAGTCATTGATGACACAAAGCAGCACACTTTGGCTGCCGCATCCACCCGCACGAAGGAGATCCGTGATACCATTGAGGACACAGCAGGTCCAACCATTGTGAGTCTCTCCCTTCGTTCCGTTCGTTTTTTTTACTCACACTTATTCACCTGGTTGTTTCTCTGTATGATTTAAATCCTCCTGCCCTTGATGGGTTATTTTTTGTGAGGTCTTAAATATCCAACCAAGAAAGTTACGAAAGAAAGCTCTTTTGCGCATGGATTTCATATTCTTCATGACTAAGATTTCAAAGAGGAGAACTAGGGTTTGGAGTTTAGGTTCTAAAAACTACGACTGTGCAGGACTCGGCTAAGAAAGTTGGAGAGGCCATTGGCAAGCTCTGCTTAGAAAAAGGTATTACCAAGGTGGCCTTTGATAGGGGAGGCTTTGTTTACCACGGACGCATTAAGGCTTTGGCAGATGCTGCTCGTGAAGCTGGTCTAGACTTTTAGAGGTAGTCCATACATCTAGGAACGAATGCATCAACGGCTTGTAAGCTGATTATGATTGTGTCATTTGAAAAGTTCAGGTTTGCTGACAAGAAATGCAGACTGTATTTATCAATCAATTCATAACTTCGTGATTGTGACTGCACCTGTAATTCTTCTTTTACTTACGTCTTATCGATTCATAATACTCCAGAATTGAAAAAAATTACAACGTTAGTCAGCTTCAAATGGTGTACATTCAATATTGGTCGATTCCCTAGAAGGAATGGTCATATCGAAGATAGAGAGTTCATTACACACCAACTAGCGAGGCGGCGTTCGGATGTCTACAACAAGAACCGTGTTCTTCACTGTCAGGCTCTACGCTTAGAGTGAATCCGGGATGCTAAATACTGTATCACATGAGCTCAGAAGTTGGGAATTGTTCCTTTTTGCTTTTAATGCAGATGAGTTCTAACCATAATCTGTCAAGCGCACGAAAATTTCACGAACAGTATCATAATCATTGTCGGCCACAGCATCAAACTGTCCATAGAATTGGGTAATTTTCAAGTTATCCCAGTGACCATTTCGAAGCACCTGCTTTGTGAAATACTCATCCCTAGCAGAAAGTTGATGAAATCATAACTTCTGAACTCAGGAATAAATGACTTTAGAATCAAGTAATTGATGAGTGTTAACATCCTGAAGTCAACAGCTGCACAACGGCCTTGGGCGAGTGTCCCAGCAAACCGGATGATACTATCTACATAATGCAAAATTGATACTTAGCCGACGCAAAATCTATCAAACCAGGAGTGCTTGTAGTGGTTCAAAATGCTGATCTTCAACATTTAATTACTGGCCAATGTTGAACAATACAAAATCACTTCAACTCATGACACAGAACTGAGGAGTTGCTTGAAATCATGCCGCAGAATCTAATATGGAAGATATAGCCTCAATTAAGGCTTTGAATCAGCTCCTGTATACCTGTGAAGTGTGACTGGAACATTTTCCACTGCAAATCATACTCAGCTGTTAGCCTAACTACAATAGTCAGTTCTTATCTAAAGCTCCCTGAGGATGAAAATACATCAATATGCGGCAACAGGACGGTCAGAAATAAAAGAGTTACAACAAGATGAACTGTACCTGATCCAGGGGGAGCGAAATACCTGGCATACAAAACGATTCATCAGTTTAAAAAAAGGCGTGAAATGTGTTGGTGAATCGGATACTATATTATCCTCATGAAGTGCAATTGAATTTCAATGCGAAGCCGTACGTTTACTAACCTTTCTTTCCTGGGAGTTCGTTGCCTTCTTTATTGAAGAACTCTCTAATGTCCACAAATACCTTTCCTTTGAATTTCTTCACAACCACCTTCCGATTGCGAGACAGCTACTTCCCCATAACCACATTGTAAGAAACCGGCCAATACACATTAACAAATGGGGCCTGAAAGACAGCGAAAATTAACAGTTTTCCTAATCCATTGCAAGGTTCAACAAAACGTCAATCCAATGAGCTTGACAAACTATAGTGCCATTTTGAGGAACTGCTTTAAATATAAGGATTTTGAACGACCTCATCTAATGCACAAAAGATTCTCGTTCTCTCATAGCAGAGTTAAGAAGCAATATGAATAAATGAATACATATATATATATATATATATATATATATATATATATATATATATATATATATATATATATATTCAAAGTGACAATGAAGCTGAAGGACGGGTTTAAAATAAACCAACCTCAACAGCAACCACACTGTCGCCATCCCCAGAGATCGTCTTCTGATTGTGGTTGGTACCTTCTTCATCCTCGTCTGAATGGTTAGTCGCATTACCCTTCCTCTTAGGCATCGCTTCTGTTTTAGATGTCTGCCTCTCACTCTAGAACGTTTCTTTTCAAGTTCTTTTTCGATGCAACAAAATGTGCAGGCTCACACTGTAGTCTCACCAACACAAACTGAAAATATAAGGCTCTAACCGAAAGAAAATACTCCAACAACATAAACCTGAAGTGATGCATGAAAAGTAACGGGCTCGGTAACAACGCATAAAAAATTGGTGCTCAATCACCTCCCTCGAAGATTCAAATTACAGATTACATACCCAAGTGTTTCTCAGCATTCACATAATATCACACCCCACACGTGTGTAACATTAGAGCCGCCTGTCAAACCTCCGCCTACTTTAAGATTGGACTTAGAAAGAGGACATAATGCAGATGAAATATAGACTACGCAAAGTATAGAATCATCACGTATAAAACAAGCAACAAAGGTGGAAATGCAAGATGTTCACTGTAACACAATCCCCTATCAAACCAAGTCGAAGCAAGAAAAAACACTCTTTCCCCAAACAAAGTAGACCGCGCTCTTCAAATCTCAAACAGCAACGAGTCCTGAACTGCATCTCACACTATCTGAGAAGATACATCCAATAAATAAATAAAAATCTCAGTGGAGGAATAAATAAATAAATAAATTAAAATGTAAAATCCCTCGACAGCTCCAGACGGCTTTACAATTACGTTCCCCCAAAATTAACCTAAACCAAAACTGTGAAGCTCAACACCGAGCACAGTATAATAAAATTAGAACTCAGCCCTCACCTCACCATTTCAACTGAGCAGCAAGCTGCCAAGTACGAAGGAAAGAAAACAGTCCCTCAACTCACCCAATCGCAGCCTACTATGTAGCACACCAACTCTCCAGCGGCGACAACGTCTCAGGCTCAAGGATTCTCCAAGTTAAAATGAAACGGATTACTGCAAACCTCGCTCCACGTTCTCAGTCATTTACAGCCCAGCAATGCAGTTCAAATCGTCTTCGACGATTAATTTTGAATCCGCAACATGTAGAATCTTCACATAATGGAAGAAGAATTCGGTGACCAAGGCGGCTTCCGGCACATCCCCCGCTCAGGATTTGACCGACATTCCGACGACCATCAACGAAAAATATATTCTCGTCGACGACATCCCTCTTGGATAGTTCGCTTCGTCAATGAATTAGGGCACGATTCTATTTCAGAACAGTCGTGGGGTTGGAATCATGGGCCCTCCACGACTATTCGAATTGGAACTGTCGTCCTGTCGGGATCGTCACAATCCTTGAGCATTACATGATGTTGCAAGGAAGCGATAGACTCGTAGAAGCCCTCCGTCACTGAGCGGTCGACAGCGAGGAGGAGCATGTTGTTGGTGGATCCCAAGGGCCCTAATCGTCGTTGGAGCCACACATGAGTCCCCAGAAGACGCGGCCTCGTCTTTAGAGCACGTCGTAGTTGATTTTTGGGCGGGGAGACACGGAGCCTTGTTGCGGTTGTTGGATCGATTGGTTAGGGCTTGGTGCTGTATCTGGGAAATTGGTGCGACTGCCGGCGCATTGCCTGGGGTTTCTAAGTTTTGGCGTAGGGAGTAGTTGGAAAGAGGTTTTGAGGGTTTGAAAGAGGGCTTTGTTGTTAAGGGTTGTGAAGATGGGTGATTCGAGAGAGGGGTCGCCTGATTCAGCGTATTCGGCAGGAGAGGGTAATGGTACGGGGAGGGCGGCGAGACCAGTGTTAGAGGATTCTGAGGAGGAAGGGATTATTCGCGATGAAGTGGAAGTGGAGCCGGAGGTGGAGGATCGTAAGGCGGGGAGGGGGCGGAAGCGGTTGGTGAAGAAAGCCGTTGTTGAGGAGTCAGACGAAGAGGACAGGGGAAGAGGAAGGGCACGGAATGATGTGGTGGAGTCTGAAGAAGAGGAACCAGAGATAAGGAGGATAATGAAGAAGTCGCGGGTGGAGGAGAGGGATTCCCATCGGGAGAAGGGTGGTAGAGGGGGTAAAGGGACCAGTAGTAGGGGCATGTCTGGGAAGAAGGGGGAAAAGGAGATGAAGGAGATGTGGGATTCTGTGGCAGGGAATGGTGATGATTCTGACGATGATAGGTTCATTGACGATGAAGGAGTGCCAGAGGAAGATCGTGTTGTGTACAGCGACGGAGAGGGAGATGATGACAGAGATCGGAGGCACCCCGAGGCTGAGGAGGCGGAGGAAGATGAGGATGAGGATGGGAAATTATTTGGAAAGGGTAAGAAGAAGAAGAAGCTGGAACGCACTCCTGAAGAAATTGCTATGTTTGTTGAGCAGTTTATGGCGAAGTTGGACGTTGCAGCTGAGACTGACGCCGACCTTAATCGCGCCCAAAAGCCTGCAATTGAGAAGTTAAAAATGCTTCCGGAGCTATGGACTGTACTTCAGAAACGGCAATTGCAGATGGAGTTTCTGGATCGTGGTGTATTGTCCTCCCTGAAGAACTGGCTGGAGCCCCTTCCTGATGGCTCTTTACCCAACATGAACATTCGTACAACTCTGTTGAAGCTTCTCACTGATCTTCCCATCGATGTTGAGATGTTCGAGCGAAGGGAGCAACTTAAGAAGAGTGGTCTTGGTAAAGTCGTTATGTTTCTTTCTCGACTTCCAGAGGAGACACCCGCTAACAAAAAGCTGGCTAGAGACTTGGTGGATAAGTGGAGTCGGCCAATTTTCCAGAAGAGCACTAGGTACGAAGATTTGCGAACTTATGACGAGGAGAGACCATTGCCTCGGAGAGCGCCAATGAAGAAAGCTCCCGCCAAACATGCAAATGTTGACAGGGGAGATGACCTCGACATCCTTCAAGGATCTCAGGAATTAAAGCGGGGTGATCCAGGCTACAGGCAACACGCTTCTAGACCCGAAGCTCTTCCTCTCGACTTCGTCCGGCGCCCCGAGTCGAAAGTAGATCCGCAGGAACTTCAGAATAGGGCACGGCAGCAGCGCCAGGATGAGAAACGAATGAAAATGAATAAGAAGCTGCAACAATTGAAAACAACTAAGAAGAGCATGCAGGCATCAAAGATTAGCGTTGAAGGTCGTGGCGCTGTCAATTACTTTTAGTGCGCAAGTGTGTAGCCTCTTTGAGAGTTGAGGACTCGCAACCGCTGACAATATTCGTCGTAGACCTGATGATTTACTTCTCAATTGCCGTATCTGCCTTTCCTCTGCGCCAATTGACTCTAGGCAGTGCAGCAGATGATGTCACCTCATGCGATTATAATTAATTATATCATCAGGGGGACAGCAGAGGAATTGGATTCTTATTCCAGATTGTAAATTTTATCAGTCCGTCATTGTGCAATACAAATCTATCAGAATTTTACCTTTATTTAATACAGAATGTATGGGCAGATACGGCACCGTGTAAAACAGAGCTTTGGTTCTCTTTTCAAAGCACTTCATTTATATTGAATTTTTGAATTTTAAATTTTTTCCTCCCGTGTGCTGTGTACTCCATTGGTTTTTGGTTGCACAAACATGTGGACATCTGGTAATGGAATTCAATCAGATTTGCAGTTTCGTATTATGTGGTGTCTTTCTTGAACTTGAGTAGGAATGTAGGTGAATTGAATTCCTTAGGCAGCCTGAACAACCTACTCTCTCGCCTTTGTATCATGACCTCGATTTCTTTCATTTCACTTACATTTTGAGTTAAGATGCTTGGCGGAGTTGCGAAACTCGTGAAAAACATTGAATGTCAGACTGACGGTATAATCTCAGTTTTACTGCATTTCTCACCTAGTACAGCACCTTGATCCTCATACCTGGTCAGTCATGAAGGAGTCCGCTCGTCCGATGCAAATTTAGACATCGTAGAGATGAGCTGAAGGCAAGCGGGTGATCACGACCTGTTAGGTCACGTGTATGTCCGTATTCTGCATTTGATGAACTGTTTGTTACAACATGGAAACTTCTCCGAAATGGCAGCCTTTCCTATGGTTCGCATCAAGGAACACAAAACCTAAATTCCAGGTCACAATGTGATTTCAATAAGAATCATTGCTTAACACGTCTCATTATCATCCGCTAGCCCTCACTGTTGCGTCGTCGCAATCCTACATCTCTGCGAGCACAAGCCTTTCCAAGTCTCCGTTCAATCGGAATCGAGGATTTAAGATTAAAAAAATCACCAGGAAGATCGAGAAGGTAGTTGAAAATCACTAGGATAACTTTAATGAGCACTTGCACGTTGATTTGCAACATGGTATGCAGTAGGATAAATACTTGCTTTGCAGATAGGTGAGCAGTGGCAATCTCAGTCCCAAGCCTCTGCCAAGCTTCACATTTTGCGATCGATAAGTCGACCAATATTTCCGAAGATTTGAGCCTTCCGTCCGTATTCGATGAAGATGACAACATTTGAGCTCGACAACTTACAACCACGAGCAGAAGCTGCGTCCGCAGATGCGTATTTGAAAAGGTATATTGCTTATGGCCTTGTCTGCAAAAGCAAGTCATTTAAGACTGGACGTCGTCAAAGCAGATTTTTATCCCCACTTGCGGCTTCAATTGTTTCCCTTATCGCTGCCCTAAATCTAGATGCTTTGTCATATCTATGCGTTACACGATGCCCGCGTGGATTAGTGCAATGGTGCGATCGACTTCTGTGAGAGTTAGGTCAATGATTGGATATCATTATAGATTTTCAGAGGAATGCGACTAGACTTGTTTATCAAAGAGAGACCTATGCTCAGTGCTTTCAGTGCGCATGCTAAGTGAAGGGCGACATGATTGACAGGATTGCCAATGCTGTGGTGCTGGTCCTCCCATTTTTCTTGTGGGGCACCAACATGGTGATCATGGAAGATGTGATGGCCAAGACGGGGTCGATGTTTGTTGCGTTCGCGCGGTTGATTCCTGGTGGCTTTGGGATTATTGCTTTCGCAAGGTAAGCAGTAGGTATTGTATGCAACTGACGCAATTTGATGTAGAAGTGCCCGCGACATCAACTAACATGTCTTCGCTCGGATTTGAAGTCTGCTTACTTTATGAGGTTTGCGGTTGTATTAATATCAGCTTGAGAGGAAAGAAGTTCCCATCTGGAGTGACTGCCTGGTTACCAATTGCCCTCTTTGGCCTCATCAACAGCACGCTTTTTCAGGTTTCCCCTTAAATCGCCGCTTGTGAATCTGCTAGAATATCCCGCGTGAATAATTGGCTTGTCTCGAAAATCGAGGTTAGCTCAAACCTCTGACAGAAAGTGCCGTTGTGGTTGCAGGTATTTTGTGTTGAAGGGCTGACGCGGACAATTGCTGGCATTGGCAGTGTAAGTGCTCTTTACTTCATACTCCAATCGTATGTTCTTCTGTGATGTGGGTTATAGATTCTTGGCTGTTGGCTTTGTTCGCATTGTAATGGAAACAGCATTGGGAAGACTTTTTCTTTACAACTTCTAAATCCTAGAGTGTGAGCAGGTTATTATAGACTCGCAGCCATTAACCGTCGCTGTTATGGCCGCAATGTTCTATGGGGAAGTACTGGGACCCAAGTCGATAACAGCATTAATATCTGGCATTTTCGGTCTTATTTTGATAGAGGTAAGCAAATCTCCAGCAATACCATGCTCTGTGTATAGACTGAGCCGACATTTGCCTATCACTTGATCAGCATCTTCATGTTCGCGATTAGCACCTGGTTGTAATCGGCATAGACCGTTCAGCAATCAGCGCATTAAGATAAAGATCATGATCTTCTATCTGAAATTTTTAGCATCAGAGATTGAATTTCTGGAAGGGGTTCACGACCATTATGCATGAATGACTCGTAAGGTTCTGTTCGAACTTCCCTTTCACGGGGTTTCAGCTAAAACACAGCCCTGGAAACGGAGGTTCTTTGTCTTGTAACACTTCGTAAGCAAATACATTGCAGGTCCCGCCTCTGAAGATGCAAGAACTCTTGCATTCTCTTCTCCATTCGTTCGGAATTTTGAAAGCTTCACCTCCCTTGCATTCAACGGGGAAATGGAGCTTGTGGGACAGCGGGGAGTGGTGGATGTTGCTGGCTGCACAATGCATGGCCGTCGGTACAATCATGATGCGTTGGGTCTCGAGGTTCGCTGACCCTATCATGGTAATTGGCTGGGTAAGATGTCCTTCTCTACTTTACTGCTTTTTCGTGGTGATTACATTCAAGGAAATGGAACATGTGAATCACCTCGCGTAGAGAATTTTTCTATAATTTGGGCAAATGAAAAGGACCCAATTCCTAGAACTAAAAATGTCGCAAATAAACTCGGCTCAGAAGACTTCGTGTTCACCCCTGAATCCCTCATGGGTTTTTTTAGACTGCGCGCAAACCCTACTCTCTTTGCAACGCATTCTGTAGAACAAGGAATACTGGAGTGTGAAGGATGTTTAACTATTATAATATCCCAGGGTGTAGTTTTGATGTCACTTTCATGAACTCAGAGAATGTCGTGTTGGACTGTTGATCAGCATATGGTGTTGGGGAGTATTCCTGTTTTAGCTCTATCAATTTGGAGACAAGACCCTGCAGTGTCTGGGCATCTGCAAGATCTGAACCTTGGAGACTGGGCCGAACTTGTTTACATCTCCGTTTTTGGAAGTGCTCTTGCCACAGGCTTGTTCTTCTATAATGCTACTAAAGGTACATTTCGCGTCACCCTGTCACTTCTCCTTAATGTCTCGCTTCCATTTTTAATGTGGATTACCTGTTACGACAGTTTTCTGAAGGGAACGTCTCAATTATCGACGATAAAAAGTCATTGTCCATTGCAACTTCGGAAAGTAGCTTGGTTTCTAGCATGTGTAGTCATTTAGAATGTGATCATGACTAATGTGAGCATGGCTATGTTAACATGAGCTAAAGAGGGTTTTGAATGTGACGATATAGGCAGTCTGACGGAGCTCAGTGTGCTCACGTTACTCACCCCTGTGTTCGCAACCATATTCGGGTGAGCGATTGCAATGCTCTAATATCCCTTGCCATTTTTACGCCCTTGACAATATTTTATTCCCCAATTTTCACTATGTTTTCTATCATGATGTACAAGTACTTTCGCCTCGGTAATGGATTGTTGAGGTGCGAACGTCACTTAGGACTCTGAATGCTCTACAACAAGAGGCATGTCCCTATTTTCTGTTGCTTCAGAGCATTGTAATTCTGACTTGATCCGTCGTGGCAGGTACTTGCTGAGAAACGAAGTCATAACCAAGATAGAGCTTGTGGGATCGGTAATCACCCTGGTTTCCATTTGCTTCGTCAAAGTGGAGAAACCCAAGCCAACCGAACCCCAAAACTTTAACATAAGATACGATTCCTTGCCAGTAGAAGCAACTCCTTAATTCTCATCGGCCGTCTCATTGGGAAATCTGCCTCACCATCAGGACCGTTTCATCCGGCACCGCACTCAAACGTGGATCGATATCTGTACATCAAATCGACTCCCACTCATTGAAGCAGAAACCTGCCAGGGAATCGCACATGAAATACATCATTCAGCACTTGGGAATCCAAAGAAGCGAAATCTCACCCACACGAATACATCGGAAGGAACCTTTGGCATCCGGTTATTCTAAGGTGGATGACTGAGCGATGTCTACGCAAGTTACGAAACATGGTTTTCTGGGGCTCCTGTAACCGAAAGGTTTAGTGACTGAAGACGCGGCACAAATTAGGATTTGTCGGCAAGTCAACATGAAGCTTGCTAACATGAGGGGGAGAACAAGTCCACTGATAGTGTTATCTTTTCAATATTTTTGCATGGTTAGCTTTCGAATACATGTGACACTTTACTTTACAAATCCCAATTCATAATATACATAATTTGTTTGTATAGTAATCAACAGTTCTAAGTGAAATTATTTTATAAATTTGTATTATTCATTAAAAAAAAATACATATTTTTATTTGAGTTGGTAGGTGTTGTAGAGTACACAAACAATATAAATAAAACATCTAGATTTTATACAGAATTTTTTTCTAATAGCAGCCATCCTGTAGTGTTATTAAATATTGTTCTATTGTTTCATCTTTGCTTGCTTTTGTAGGAAGATGATGATCTATAATGGTATTGCTTAAAGTAGAAGTGAAGCTTTCACGTCCTTTTTGGAACATTTCCAAGTGAACTTGTGCTTTAAACTTTAGAATCATCTCCTCAAAATCTCCCTTTACATGCATGCAAATTACATATAAAATGCTTGTAGCTTCAATGAAAGACTTGTTTCTTTCAAATATATCTCATCGGATTTGTCAACATCTTGATCTATCATTTATTTCTTTGTTCATTTATTTATTTGTAAATGTATATCTATAAATTCAAGCATACACCCAAAAAAATGATATCATTTGTCAAAAACATTCTAAGTTTAAGATGGATATGTGCTATCAGTTCAAATCACAAAATTTAAACTCTTTCAAATTTAGTAAAGTCTAAAATAACAAAAACAAACACTTGTTACAAAACCAAATTCATTTTTTAAAAGTTAAACAAAAAATTGATTATAATACTTAAAAGGCAAACTGTTAGAATAGAATTAATATCATGGAAGAAAAAACTCAGTACATGATTCATATTTTGCCATCAGAACTCAGAATCCATTAAGGTCAGTCCCATACATAATAATGTTGTAATCCTAACATGTGGATATTTGAACTTTTTTGTGGTAATCCATGGCAATTATTCAATGTAGAACATCCCAAACTGGATACTGGTAAGCATCACTCTAGCCACAGAAAACATAATAACCCTGTGACAGTAATTGAATATACATATATACATATATGCTTAAGACAGTAAATAGTTCTTATAGTTTATATTTTTATATGTATATATATATATATATATTCAATCTTGTGCTATTTAAACATAAAACTTATTTTTCAAAGAGGAGGTTCAATCTTGTGCTTTTTTTCTTTTCTTTTCTTTTTTTATCAAAAACAAAACAAAAAAAACAAACAAATAAACAAACAAACAAACAAACATAAATTTTAGGATTGGTATTTGAACCATCAAAGTTTTCAATGGCATTCCTTCTCATTTTCTAGTAACTTATAGTCATCCTGAGACAATAGACATAGAAAAAAAGACATAAATTGCAAAAAAAATACATGTGACCAAACAAGAAGCCCATGTGGACCCCTGAAACTTTTCTAATGTCTTGTGGAAGGAGAAAGAGAGGACATCATTATCATCATATTGTCAAGCAAAGAGAGAACCATGGGTTGTGAACCATACAATATCCACGCTCCATGTCACAGCTACATTCCTAGTGTTAAAAATACTCTAACTCTGTGATGGTTCCCACGTTCCAATCGGGTGTCACCACTAAGGGAACAGCCAAACTGCATGGGAACCCCGATGGGGAGCGTCCAGGATTTCCAGCGTGGACAATCCTCGGTGCCAGCTGGGCAAGTCTCTCAATGTCGATGCCACCCACTCGGATTGCGTGGCCGGGTGGTCCTAGAATCACACTCTTGTGAGATGCCACGCTGGCTTCTAGAAGCATCCTGGGCACCCCCCCCACTCCCAAGACAAGACCCACCCACTACTCTGTGGCTCTGCGCATTTACCTCGAAGATGCTTGCGAGTGAACCGTAACCAGAGCCCTGAGTGGAGGGAAATGGAACACCAGTCCACATCAGCAATAGGATCGTGACTCGGTTCCGCACTGTTTGTGGCGGTGGATCCAAGTCAGCATAATTTCGGGCCTTAAGGCCAGCCCCTTCAAAGGGATTGATAAAGGTGGAGTGTATTCGTGTGGGCTTGAATTGAGCCTACGTGCCTTGTTGGGTGAGTCTACTACGTGGGTGTGTGTGTTTTTTCACATCATTTGGCGTGTTTGTCCGAATGGACAATGAATGAAAGAACAAAAGGATTCGCCTGAGTCTTTTCTCATGCTTCCTTTGTTTACTACCATGTTATTTGTATGGACCTATTCCGTTGAAAAACTGCTATTTCAGTAAACCTTGGATCTGTTTGTATTTATGTGGATGAATACATTTGAGTATATGGGTATATGAGGATTTGTTATGTATTTACAGGAATTTTTAGTTTTTTTTAGGAGTAGTGTTTAGAATAAGTGGTTTTTTGATGTAAGAATATTTTTTTTAAAAGAAAAAGTTATATTCTTTACTTGTTGTGGTTAACACACAATATAATATTCCTTATATGATTATCATTGAGCTTGTAGTGTATCAATAATTGTAAACAAGAGTACCGAATTTTGAAAATTTGAAAAAAAAAAAAAATTTTTATTAAAACTTTATTAAGAGAATTATTATTAATTGTAAAGTATATATGGAAGCATCAATAAAATATATGATTAGCAAGTCATTGCCTTTGTACTAAAACACAAAAAGATAAGAAATATTTTTGAAGGGATTTTTTTAAAAAAATTTCTCTAACAGTTATTCTAAAATTATTATTATTATTATTATTATTATTCTAGAAACTTAATCTGATTTTAGGACATTGTATACTGATTTATTCTAGAAAAAAGATATAAGGTTTTGATACAAAATTCATAAATGATTGGTCAGAATAATAAATTTTTAAGGATCAATATATTTTTTAATCATACAAATTATAAATACTAAATAAATATTATACTATAAGTTTTGAAATAAATAAATAAATAGAAAAATTTATGACTTTATATTAGAATTTTTATCTCAAAAATGTTGATAGAATGATTTCTTGTCACGGACATACATATTTACCTTGATAATTATCTAGATAATAAGAATAGGTAGAAGTAAGTCAAAGTTGATAAATATGATATTATCTTGTGGATAACTTCCTAGAAGCTTCATAGACACTGCTTTGCCTTTATATATGTCTATAGGTGATTGAGAGGTTGAAATCTTAGCCAATAAAAACGCCACAAGTCGACATGTTGACCACTTGTAATATAAGTTGGACATATGGCACACACCTAGGAAACTTGCCTTGCAAATTAGACATATATCCTGCAAGTTGAACGTGTATTATAGGTCCTATAGCATGTCGCCACATAGTTCTTAGTTAAGTAGTATATATAGACGCAAGAGTGAGGCCTTCTTCACCCTTGTCAACTCTTTTCTTACTTTTAGTCTAGTTTCAAGAGTCTTATATTTTCTAGTCTTTGGCAATAGCCATTCTAGTTATTCCTTGAATATACATACTTTCTTCTATTTTTTCACTTTCCTTTTGACACAGATTCTATGAGTTTATGTATCTTTTTGTAGATTATCCTCTTTTAAACTAATATTGTTTCTAGATTTATTTTTTTATTTTTTATTATATTTTTTCTTGATTCTTGAGTATTGTATTTTGTGAGAATAGAAATTTTTTATTTTTATTTTTATTTTATTGTGCTAGCATAATAGAGCTTACTGAAATGAAGAGTATAATGGCTCAAATGCAAGAGCAAATGAAAGAGTTAATGCTTGCAATGCATCAACTCAGTCTACCACCACAAGGAGCAACAAGATTATCAAGCAATGAAGATATAGAGATGATTGGAGTTGCTTCAACATCTACACCAAGTCATACTACTACTCCTACAATGAAACATCATTCAAGTTTCAAGGAATAAAAAATTGGATTGCTTGAGAAATTTGATGGCACAAGATCTAAGTTTCAAGGATTCATCAATCAGGTGCAATTGGTGATTGAATTACAACCTCAAAGTTATCCAACTCAAGGATCACAAGTTAGGTTTATTGGAACACTACTTTCAGGTTTTGCTTTATCATGGTTTTCATTATTTTTTGAATGACATGATCCAATATTGGATAATTTGGAAGCATTTTTAGTGGAGTTTCGATCTATGTATGGAGAACATGATGCAATTTGTGTTACAATCAATAAGATTTATATCTTGTGACAAGGCAATCAATTATTAATATTATGTCCTTTACAATTTTGATAATTAGTGACAGATATGAAGTGGGATGATGCAGCACTCACCAGCCAATTTTTCTATGGATTACAATATGAAGTAAAGAAATTGATGTTTAATTCATTTGATCCTGAGACATTGAATCAAGCACTTGATTTTGCTGTAAAATGTGATAATCATCTTTTTGAGTTTTGATCTGAGAATTGCATAAAGAAACCTCAACATTATTACAATTCAATGATGACACCAACAACTTCTCAATCTATTCATTTGAAAGTAGAAGATATGCAAATTAATTTTTTATGTTTTAAACCTCTTATCAAACAAAAAAAGACTTGTCGTTGTCAAGAAGGACTATATATGTATTGAAGAGAAGCTACGCACACTACTCAATATTGTTCAAAGAAATAACGCAACTACAAAATGAGAAGTACTGTTGTCAAAGATGAAAATATGTTAGAAAACAAATTTGCCTAACTACAGTAGGGATCGTGTGGCTAGAATCTCGAATAATTCCTAATGAAGGTCTTATTTTCTCCTCAAAATCCTCTTCTTGTTTTATAATAGATGTGTGTTTAAGATCTAATAACTACAAAGCCTCTACCTTAATAGATTTAGGAGCCTTTGTTTGTTTTTTAGATGAAGAATTTGTTAAAAGTCATAATATACAATTAGTACAAAAAACTAAACTTATACACATAGAAGTTATAGACGGTCGTCCGTTATCTTTTGGAGACGTTACTCATAAAACACTTCCTATAGATGTAGTAATAAATGGTCATTATAGTTGCATAATTTTTAATATAATTAGATATCCTTCTAATTCATTCATTTTAGATCTTATCATAGCTAAAAAAGTATAATCCTGTGATAGATTGGATTTCTCATAAACTTGACTTTTCTTCAAACATCATTAAGAGTTTTTCTAATCCAGTAGAAAGCCATGAGTCTAGTGTAGCCAAACATGTATTTGTAGGTACAAAAGCTTTTTTGCATGCTGCAAAAGAAAAATCGTCTTTTGTTATTTTTGCCACATATATTTTAAATGATGGAAAAAAATCAAGTGAAATCTCAAGTCAATATTAAGATTT